ATTTAGTATTGAGGAGAAAAGATCGATTATATGGCACCGCCTGAAAGATGGAACAAGATTATTGTTTGAACAACCAGTGGTACCTACAAAAGCCTGAGCAAAGTCAGTATCATTTTCAAACCACATTTCTAAAAGGTTTGCACTTTGAAACATGATTATTCCAGAAGCAGACTTTTACTTTTCATTGAAAGACAATTTACAAAAAAATCGAGTTTTTATGTGTAATGAGAAACCAAGAAACCATACTAGACCTGGTGTCCCAGTATTCCTGCTACACCACTCACTGCCCTGTAAACTCAAATCCTCAAGTCTGTCACTGCTGTGCGTAAAGGAGAGAGTGATGAGAATAGGGAGTGAGGGGATAGGGGTGCAGTGGCGTAGAGTTTTGCCGGCGAGGAGTTTCAGCTCCGGCGAAAAACTACACCACTAATCTTCGCCACAGCACGCAGACCCAAATATTTTACTTCTTCCACAAGTATCACAGTTGATGGCTGTGGTAAAAACTCATCGTTTCTTTTTTGATGACCATGATGAGTGGGGTCCATTCAATGCTCAACTTACGCCGAGGGGGACTAAAAGGAGCTACTGTACAAAGCAGGCTTCGTTTATTGCGGACCCCTGCTTTTATTGGAATCGATCTGTTTAATTCTGACAGACGATTTCTTATATGTAATGTATTTATACAGATTTCGTCTTGCACATTGGAAATAAGCCACTTGCTCGTGTTTCTGTAAACGTGATTGATGTTCGCGTGTGAGTGTGGCTTATCTTTAAGGAGAAAAGTTGAGGTTTAACACTCAATTTTCGTGTGGCAGCATTTACATAACAGCAGTTCCTGTTGAATACTGTATAATCCTTTTCTCAAAATAAATCAAGAGCTTTACGACACTTTTCTGACGCAGGTACGCTCAGCAGAATTGGTATCAATTTTGATTGATTATTCCTTTGTATAAAAGGAAGATGCAGAATATAGTCGTAGGCATTAGAATCATTTAACAAAACTATGAAGAATAATATCGTAGCTTCCTTTATAATACACGCTCAGCACACTTATTGGTATCAATGTTGCTTGATTGTTCCTTCGTAAAAAAAAAAGTAGAATAGTGTTATATAGGCATTCGAACCATATTCAACAAAAAATATTAGAACTTAATTCCGTGGCTTCCAACTTTGATCTCTTCGATGAAAAAATGCATTCTAATTGAAACAGACGCAAAAGTTTGCAATTATCGCAGCAGCTCTTTGCCAGATATTCCAGTCTATAATCGAACCCATTCCAAAGATAAATGAATAACCTCCAAAATAATATAATTATACCCCGAATAGAATATGCTGTGTTGCAGTCTATCACTCGGAAAATTTTAATTAAATTTTTTTCTGGAAAAAAAGACTCGCTGATCTTTTTAAAGCCATAGCCAACACTACGGTTGGGGGGAGTAAAGTTACAATAAATTATGCATGAACTGAGGCAGCAGTTTTTTCAAGTTTTGCCTTTTGTCTTCCTACAGAAATTTTAAAATTTACGCACCTTTCAAAATCGATTTTGAGTAAGTACCGGGGTTGAAACCTATTCAAAACTTTCCAGCTCGTCATTAAACGTATGTTAAGCATCTTCGTAAATGTACAGAGCTGAAGATCACGTGTTGGTGTGTTAATGATTATAATTGATGATGTCCATGCCTACCTTGGGGTATTAAATGCCTGATTTAATAGTGATGCCTTCATCCATTTTTGTTCCTGCTTGTCAAAACTTCCGTCTTTGCAGCAGATTCTCATTTCCTGACAACATCAAATGCTGCACAGCTTGATTTCGTAAAAAACTTGAAAGAAAACTGTAAGAAATTCGAGTTAATTGTCTATACTGACTGATTGCTGCCTTTTATGCTATTGAAGAAAAAAATCCTGCGCCTTGATATCCTTGAAATGCTTCAGAAAAAAATTGCATCGCGAGATTTCAAAGAAACCTTCTTTAAAATATAAAACCTAAAACCCACGAAGTGCCTTCTATTCTGAACACAAATATAAATCTTAATTTAAAGAATACACAATTCAAATCAGCTTCCGAAAAAAACACTCGTTTTTGTGTGATTGAAAGTATGATGGATTTTATTTATTACTGAGGGTAAAAGCTGAAGGCTCACTGCGGTTAAACGTAAGAATACACCAATTTTAAAATAAAGGAGTTATTCATTTTACGATTTTTCTCATAGACTCCAAGAATAAGTTGAAAATGAATTAGCTGAGGGCTATAAATACAGCACTGTAATCTGTTTTCAAATACGTTTATACAGTAATAAACAGAGAAGCATTCAAATCAATAGAGCAAGAACAGCACATGCTTTGGGATGAACAGAGCTCTATAACAGGAATGTTATATAATTACTGTACTGTGCTGTATATCACGTATGACACACCTGCTGCTGATGCATTATCCTCAAGAATCCTTCATACTCCTATACAGATGTTTTTTAAAAGTTGACCGGTTTTGTCGCGAAAATGAAACACGAAATTATACGGAATATTCTGAAAGTCATGCACGCATAAATTCGTTCACTTGTAGAATATCAATTGAGGTTTCAAAGCCTCTACAGTCCGCGTGTCTCACACTGCTGCCAGCTCGGAATAGCGTCACAGGACTCAAAATTGACTCGATTGCCAAGAAAACCCCCATAATCAGCGCAGAAAAGGCGTCGATTACACTGTCTTCTGTCCGATTTTCAAAATTCAAGACATGGTCAGCATGTCGAGTAGGAGACCTGATTATATTATTGTTGATATCGACATCGTCATCAACAGTCCGAAACTCCGAATGCACTATACAAATTTCGCTTCCGAAGAAACGCAAAACCCGAATGGTAGCGGGTCTCGAAACCCGCGCCGGGATGAGCTCGTTCGCAGCACGCCCGCGACGCGCCTGGCGTTGGACGAAATCCCGACTGCTCAACTCTCTCTGCATGTCGACGCATCCAGGGCGTGGATCCCGCGGCTGCATGAAGAAAGAAAATCTTTCCTTTTTTTCCTTATTCCTCAACGCGTACAAATACTTTTTTTTTTCCGCAAGTTCAAGATTCTGCTGCTGGTCCGCGCACGACTAAACAACTCATCGTGCTCTCACGTTGGCAAAAATAATTTTTACGTAATATATGAATGCAGTGAATCCGCATAGGATATGATGTGTAGTTTGCTGTACTATGAATACCCCTGACAAATTGTGATCTTAGATTGCGACTTTAGATTATATGGCTGCAGTGAATCTGTATAAGATATTATGTGTACTAGTACTGTATACTGTAAATACCTCTGACAAATTGTGATCAATTTTTCATTTCATCAGCACAAAATCCATTGAAATGTGACTTGATTTTCTATGAATGGAACATCAAAATTTGTGTCTATCACCAACGTCAAATACCATTTTCCATGTATATTTTCTATCCGCGATTGTTTGGTTCGTTAATTATCTCGTATAGGAAAACAATAGTATGCTCATTGTTGAAAAGCCATTTACAGTACTGATGTAGTTCAGACTGATATTTCAGAAATTAAAAAAACTTTCTGAACGACTTATTGGGAAAAATATATTATCAAATCTCAATTGCTCCATTTTATGATTTTTTTTATTCAAATTCAATCTGCCATTTGTGAAAAATTATTTTCAGGGTTCAGCCTTTCAAGTGATTCATCAATAAAATCGGAGATTTTCTGCTTTACAAGGAAATGCTTAGTTTTGAATGTACAGTACATGCATACTGATCAAATAAATAAATTTGAATATTGCAAAGCCATGCATGTTAGTTCAACACTTGATCTTTTGGCGGCAAATGCATGTATTTCCTCATAAAATTTGAATTAAGTGGTATTACGTCAAAATATTCTTTGATTTGAGATACTATAATGACTCATCATGTACACGGCCTCTTTGAGATCCATTCTCTAAAATTGGATTTTTTATCCGTAGAAAAGCATTGAACATCAGTAAAGCATTAAACGTTAGTGCTGCTTCTGATGTGACTATAGTTCTTCCTTCTCAACAAATGGAAAGGACAGAAAGTATGCCAGCTGCCATAAAACATTTTTGGTGATCAAATGTCGATATGCTTGTATGGCATTGTGAACTTCATCATTCAATAATGGAGGTTTTCGAAAATGATCCACCCTGAACACAGTAAAATATATTTCCAACAGTGTTTCCCAATTTCTTCTCAACAATAGATCTGCACTCCCATGTTGCTCGGAGGTCTATTGGATATTCATTCTTTACAATAAAAAAATGTGTTCATGGTATTAGTAGGCAAATCTTAATTCAGACTAACGTTTATCAAGTACGCATGTGTTGAAGACAAAAATTAAACATCATATCATTGACCACAACATTTTTGAAGAAATCGTTTACAGTACAGTATATGGCCTCTGACAGGAAAAGGACCTCAAATTATTAGCGATACAGTCATAAGTTAAAAAAAATGCAAGAAAGGCACGAATGACTGCTGATCATAACCATTCAGCTGTGGATAAAATAAAAACCGGAAGCTTATTATAAGAGCTTGAAGAGTCGCGGTCTAATCGGTGCTGTACATCGAGTCATTGATTGCCAGGGTTTATTCTGCAAATTTCTGAATTACGAAGATTGCACTTGGATAAATGTGGAAGCGAAGTTGGTAGATTGAAAAAAATCACCGATGCTTCAACGTTTTTCAATGCGCTATTTCAGCTAGAACACCCGTTTTTCCAAGGGACAGCAAGCACATCATACTCAACAATAAAATTTGAAGAAGCTAATTCCTGCGAAGAAAATTTCCCGGAGTTTCTTACAACCCACAACTCTATGAAGCACACGAGCAAATACGAGAAGTCGTGTCTCGACTTCAAATTTCAAGCATTTCCTTCGCAGACATGAAATAATCTCAGTTTGGATGAACCACTGACTTACAGAAACCTGTAAAACAAAACGAGGCAATTCCATATCTGAATGTTGACCACAGAATCAAAAAGCCATATGCTCGTGAGGTACACATCCATCAACCTATATTTCATTTTGCAGCCACATCACTGACGGAGGACTTGGAACCAAGATGTTGAATAATAATCGAAAATTTCGTACCGAGGTCGAGAAACGAGTGAAGTCAGGTAGTTTTTTCTCTTTCTTTCCGAAGAATTTTTGATAAGATGCATTTCAAGGTATCGACAGAGTCCGACTCAACGATGAACGCTTTCATGGCACTCCGATCAAGCCTAATCAGACCGGAACAATCGTTATACGAAATTTTCTGTAGTTCATTCATCGAAGCTTAAAGGATCTTCAGGATAACCCCAAACTCTGGAGCGCAACAAAATCAACGTTTGGCTCGATCATAGAAAAAGCTCTAACATTTTAGAATAACGAAAATTCAGCACCTCTGGCTTTGCTATTCAACATTCAGACGATGAAAAAAAAAAAACTACACCCAGGATCGGAACAACGTCACAAAGCAGCTGATTTCGCGTAAGTATTCAGTTCGTGTTGATGTCGACTTCCACTTCGGCATCACTTGTTCATATCCACTAACTAAGCCTCCAGCATTGGTTTTGCAAGGAAAACTCAAATCAAAAACCGACTCCATCCCTAAAATCATAGAAAAAAATATCCTGATTGCAAATGGGGAATGATCCGCATTAAACCGTAACTATAAACAAGCAGGTGCACTTGATACGTCAGTTCAAAAAATTCTTTTGGCAAGTTCCCAAATTAATTCCCGAACACAAGCTCACCCTTAAAATTCAGTCATGACCACTCAGTCATTTTGAGGTAACAATGGAAGATGCTGGCACGGTGCCAACGCTAAGGGGAAGCTCAAGGAAATAAATATAAAGATTCGAACCTTCGCAGAATATAAAAACAGGAATCTAGATGTTTCCGCGTAAGCCAGAATGTGCAGCAGCACTTTCTCACACGAAAAGAAAAAAAACGTGATTTTACACCACCAACCGAACGAACGAGCAATCACCAGATAAAGCTGACAAACCGCATAATACAAATACCTTACTCGCCGTTTTCCCGCGACATACAAAAATAATTTCCTCGAACTATCAACATAAATCGCGATAGTAACAAGAATACTCAATTCCTCCAGTTCTGTGTTCTAAAAATATTTGAAAAAAAAAAAAAATTCAGAGGAGTGCCTCGACGTGACTCGTTCTGGGATGGTGAGGCACATTCTCGCCGGAGCCGGATCGCACGCCGTCAGAACTCCTCACCCCTGCGCCCCCCATCCCCTCACGCCAGGCACCCAACACTCTCGCGTGGCTTCCTTCTCCGGCGAGAAACTACACCACCTCTGGGATTTCTCACGTCACAGAGCACCAGCCTTGCCGCTCGAGTTCCTTTCGCAGGTCAGCCTCGTCGAAAGATTTCGAGTTCAAACTGGTATGCTTAAGCTCATTGTCACGATCACTCGTCACCGTGGAGTTGTCGCTGTCGAATGATCCCGGTCGATAGCTCTGTTTGGCTGCCATTCCAGGAATGGCTTTCTGAGAGAACCGGACTTTGTTGCTGCGAATCTCTCCTGAAGTGCCCAGGCTCGTCGGAGCTTCGCTAGAGGAATCATCGCTGTTCTCTGGGCACGGGTTCATGTGAAGTAGCATGGATACTTGATTTTGCAAAGCGAGCATCAATGGTTTGTATCCAGGACTATATAATAAAAAGAGCGAGGTTAAAATTATTCCCGCACAGAAATGTTTTCAAAAATTACCATTGGGTATCGGTCCAATTCTCAAGATCTTTCAATCCTTTTTGCAGACGAACAAGCATTTCCTGAGACAAAGCCGATGTTCTAGCTGCATTTAACGTTCTTAAAACAGCCATTGCATCTTTCAGTAGCACAGACACAAGCAGCGACCATTCTAAGCAACCGCCTTCCTGGAACATCTGTAGCATGTATCTGTAGGGATGGAATGAATACGACAGATAATCAACATCATGTCGAAAAAAAAGAGAGGTTATGCTTAATACAACATATTTTCAATTTACTGGCGATTTCAAGAAAGCCTTAAGAAGAGCACGAATACAAGGACATTCACGCGCTAGATACCTATAAAAATTCAAAATTTCTAGATTTTCAAGTACTGTACTGTAGGCATCTTTTTTCGGTCCAGAAAACACATGAAAAGCACCTTAGCTGAACTTCAGCCTGCTGCGGTCCTTTGCAAGTCATTTCTTGCGAAAGCTGCTCAAGTATCGACAGATTTGGCATTGCCTCCCAAGAGTTCGACTTCGATTCGGCGGGCTCGTCTCCGTTTCTCTTGGCATATTCCCAGTCATTGCTGCAGCTGCCGCCCCACATTGAAGTGCTCATTTCGTCTTCAGATTCCCTCAAGCTCATGGCGCTCTCGTTTTCTGTGCGCGACATTTCGAAAAAACATCTCCTATTGACTTCATTCAGAAAAACTTGAGTTTTCAACATGAACAAAAAATGTTGAAGAAGCTACGATCAGCTGTTTCCAGAAAAAGAGGAGCTCCTCTATCTAGGCACAATTCGAGCACTCATCGTATACGTCGAACCATCTTAAAAGTCTCAATAAAAATGAAAAAAATCTTCAGTGCCAACAGTCCGTAAAAATGATTACTCTAACTCGCTTAGAAAAAATATTGACGGGCCTTACTTAACATTAGCGAGACAAACATCCAAATCCTCTTTCGGCATCGGATTTCCATTGATCATTTCTCCACACTCTGGAACTAGGTGAACGCCCACGCAATATTAACATTTACTTTCCCGGAGGACGGGAAGCAGAAGGGGAATCGTATAAAATCAAGAAACATCTTCTCCTTTCTCGACATTCGCCCCTCCTGCCCCACCTCAACAGGCCACCAAGTTAATCGCACAAATTACACCTCTTCAACATCTTTTGGCAAAGTACAGCACTAAGTAAAAGATTACGAGCAGCACAACCAACCTCGAATCACATTCGGTTTCAACGGCACTTCGATAGCACTCGTACTGCAGCCATCAAACGAGTACCGATTGAAATCTCCATTAGGCGGAAGCGGTTCAGCCGGAGAATGGCTCACATAACCACTATCCCCAAGTTTTGTAGCGCCGATCAGCGTCATCGGCAAATTATGAGGATGATGACTTCCAGTGAACGGAGTGTCAATATCTAACGTCAAAGGGAACGTTTTCAAATCAATTTCGGTATCCACTGATGATGTCGTCGGTGATCTGGAGCTCTTCGAAGAATCCGCAACTAGAATTGGAACATCAGAAACAAATCATGAAAAATCCTACACAAGGGAGGAGTACGCATTATTGAAACAAATATCAATCAACAACGGATGTAAAACTCTCAAGTTGAGAGACATTGAAATACAGTACTAACATGACGATCGTTTGGGAGGCAGATAATGCGATATTGGATGACTGAGAATCGGGAATGGCCAATTAAAATCGGCATGAAGACGTTTGATGCTAGCAACGAAATCTTCCACTTTCGCCGCCTTTTCCCGTTCTTTACGAAACCAAGTTGCCAGATGGAAGTCAAGATTCGCCGCAAAATATCCTAAATCTCGGATTCTTCCGGCATTCAATAACTTTTCCGCGTGGCTCATCAGAATGGTGTCAATGAACTGCTCTTCTTCTTCGATCGTCGCGGGAGCAGAGCTTTTCCGATGGGCTCGCAATTTGCTTTCACTGTGTGGCCGCGACATTTCCTTCTGTTGATTAACGGCGTACGGATCTGGACTGAGTGGTCCACGAGTTATTCCTGCAGTACTCATGCTCCTTCCTCGTGGAACCTTGAAAATACAAAAATCCTCACATGCAATAAAATTCTCAAGGAACAAATGGCTCCTTCAAAAATACGCCCATATTCTCCATCCAAAAAAGATATTGCATGAATGACGAGATTAAAAAATCAACCGACGTACAAAAAAAAACGATTAGAAGCCCGAACAAATGTTCAATTTTGTTATTTCATCATCATACTCGAATGGATACTTGGATAGTTCGCTCAAAAAAAGCTCGCCAACCATTAATCCAGATAACCAAACCGCGCCACAGTTCACGCGGAGAAAATGCACGAATAAATTTTGTCGTGAGATCGAAACCAGGTTACTGTTCGCACACGTGCTGCCTATGCACATCTGCAGTTACGGTCACATTGCTCTCGGATTTTTAAAAGACTTCCAAGTTCATTTGACAACAAATTTAAGCTGAAGTGTAAAAGAAAATACTGCTACTTCAACGCACCTGCATAGTGCCGAGGACTAGCGATAAATCATCCTCATTTGGACTGAGCGGAGGAGTCGTGGTACTCAATCCGAACTTCGGTAATGAACCAACGGATGCACGTGGTCCTTCCGAATCATTCGGGTCTAAAGCAGTAGTTTAAACGTCACGAAATGAATTTTACGACATGAGATTCAGATATGAATTTCAAATAGTCACTTCAACTAACCGATCGCTCGCAGATATCGCACCAGCTCTTTCGACAAATCCCATCGACTCGCATCCAAAGCGGAGACAAGTAGCATCGTCGCGTATTGTCGACTCACCGAAGTTACTTCTACGTTCTGGAGGCAACAAAAAAATTCATCACATCCGTTCCGTGTCCTCACACTTTTCAAACATTTATACTTGAAGAATGACTAGATAGTTGGTAGCTACGTCAAGCAGGCCCCTTCTCAAGCATTCCATGAACAAATCTCTCGGATTTCCGGCAGCAGTGAACAGATGATGCCATAGAGCGATTTCTGACTTTCTGGAACACCCCACAACTGTTTGCAGGTAATTGGGGAATTCTTTGATAAAATCCACCACCGATGGGAGTAAGGCATCCGGTAATGGATCTTTGCTCGTCGCTTCTTCTTCCAAAACCTAAAAGGAAAAAAACGTGATACATGATCCGTCATTTACTTCATTTAAAACCGGAAGCCTACGTGGTGAAGAAGCAGTTCTAACGCATGAGGAAAATACGGCAATTGACAACAACTCCGTGCTATCTCCCACGCTGGCAATCCGAGATTTCGTTTCAACAACTGACGCAGGATGTGCTGAAGGTATACTTCACTCTGTAAAATATCAATGAATACAACATTAAGCGATAGAAAATATTCAAGGTCCGGAACCAGACAACAATGCACGTACCGTTCTTTCCAGAACGCAGAACGGAAGCTTCACATCACAGTCAGATTTAAGGGGCAATTGGATAGTGTCAGTTTCAACTCCCAATACAACCGCAGCTTCATACAACACAGCTAAAAATAATAATATTTTGTTATCACATATGCACATTCATACGTCGTGAAACAGTCATTACCCAAGGGATATATGGACACTGGAACAGGCAGCATGATTCTCTTCGCCATGAAAGACTTTTCTCCTTGATGCGGTAGCAGAGGAAGCCATATTCGCATTCCTAGTGCTCCGCAGTGTAGCCATAACGACTCCCACAGCTCATTTCTTCGAGGAAATGTTGCTTCATTCCCTGTCACCGCGTCGGTATTACGACTGCATTGCCACATATTTTCCACATTTGATGCCAGCACCGTTGGATACGCCTGCTGTATCTATTCATAGATAATTGTAGGAGCATATGATGAGGTCAATTTCTGGAAAATTTTCATATTGCCATAAAAAATCGAAAAATCGCACTGAACTGAAAAATCAAAAAGGCGACGATATGACTTTGATCATCAAACTTCAAACGACTAAGGCGATGTCCGCTTAGATCATTCGGAGGAAAAACGTTTCAGGATTTAAAGAAAATTATAAAAACTCAACCTCGGCTTGCAAAAGACGTAATAAACCACCACGGGTGATATGAGTTTTACCAGGGCTTTTTAACGTTTCAAAAAGGAAGATGAAATCGTCAACCACAACTGCTAACTAATACCTGCACAAATTGTTCAGAAAATGTTCGTAGCTAGGCTTAAACCTAATGCTTAAGAGGACGGAACTCTTCTTCCATACTCGTAGATTTATCCATCCGTCAATTTGTTCTGTACTATAACGTCATAAGAGCAGCCTACTGCTTGCATAATGGAGCTCACCCTCGATCGTTGATCGTTGACAAACGCAGGCTCGAGATCAAGCTGAAGCAAAATCAGCCGTCCGCAAATATTGATCAACACGCCCTGGATCGGCGGCTGGGAACTTTGATTCGAAACTGCGCAGTCTTTGCTCGACGATCCCGATCGCCAATAGGAAAAAGACGAGGCTACCGGGCTCACAGGAGACGTCGGTCCACTTGGATTGCTCACAGAATATCTGCTTCCACTAACGTCAACCCGCAAGCTCGTCAGCAAAACGGAAACGACGCACGCCGGATGATACACAATTGGTTGCAGATTCACTCGTTGCTTTGCGTGCAATTCAACAGCGTCTAGGATATTCATCATTATAATAAGAAATGATGCTCCTCTCAATTCAACGACCGACCAAATGTTCTTGTACGTCAGGCTAGTATCACCTGATCAAATTGACCTGACAAGATCAACCTGACTGAACATGAACTGACGTTAATTAGTCTGAACTAAGCGTAAATGACCTAACCTAATTTATACTCCGTCAAATTCGTGAGGTTGAAAATCACGGAGCCTCAGAAATTTTGAGTTCATGTGAATAGAACGAAACAAAAAGGTATAATAAAACATACGAGCATTGGATCCGGAGATTGCCATTGAATAAATGAGCAAGTAGTTATCAGCTGTACAGACAGCCAAAGTGTCGTGGTGAAGACTAAGAACAACCACTTGAGCATCGATGTTAGTTGTAGAGCAAAATGCGTGATCCAGTTTTGTATCCCGCGGATAAATACGGATTTCGTCCTGAAGCTTTTGCAAATTGTAGCAGCCGAGTACAAGATATTCTCTCCACCATAGGAGTCCGCCTGTGACGATGAAATCTTTTTCTTGAGTTTCACTCCCGAACAGCCGCCAACGCCGTAAATTCGTTGAATAATGAGCCACCCCGAAGCGGCCTGCAACTGCAAGGTAGTGACCACGCTGATCAAGCGCGGCATACTGAAAAAAAGAAAAAAAACGCACGTTGAATGTGGCATACTCAAGAAAACAATTTAATCACACACCCTCAAAGGCCAATTAGTTGCCGTATAATTGTGAGGGATGGGAATAACGATCCATTGCTTGTTTCCAATTTGGTTAGATGGCAACGTCGCTGTTCCAACATTTTGAGAGAAAACATCCTCAGCCAAAGAGGTACCAATGATCGGACTACGATCTTTCATACTCTGACGAACACCTTCCGAGCCAGCCAATTCGTTTGCATTCAAGTAAATTCGATCTTCGCCTTGCAGAAACACACGCTCTTGATAACACTGCAAACAAAGACAAAAGACAGCATGCATGAAAAATGAGAAATTCGGATGGGTTCCCAGACGATTTACTGAACCAGGTAACGTAACAGTAACTTCAGCGAAAACGCTTAGAAAATGAGTATATCTGCGAGAAATCATGCTTTGTTACTAATGAATCACCACATGTAGTGAGGAAATATGCTCACACGTCGACTTCGTTGAGGACCGCGAATGCATCACGACTTACCATGGCGGGATTCGATGTTAACGCACTCTTGATCATGTGGAAAAATTGGACGCGATAGTTGAACTTCATCGAATTGTGACTTGAAGAATCGGCTGCATCTGAAGAAGACGGGGAACGCTGCTCTTCCTTCAGCTGTCGTTGGAGCAGCTCATACGGCATGAGATTCCCATTCCCTTCTACATGATCTGAATCACTTTCAGAAGTCCGCAATCTGCCACGAGTCCGCTTCGTTCCCAAAACTGCCTCCTTGTTCACTGTCCATAACGTATAGCCTTCTGCTCCCCATTCCTAATTTCCATCAACACAGAACGATTCGAACTTCACTTGTCTCACGAAGTTCAACAATTTAATGCAACAACAAAAATTAGTAGAGAAGTATCACTATTCAGAGAAATTAAAATTACACGATACATGTGGATTCGCTCTACAATAACGATAGTCTCCGTACAACGATTTTTTTCCGGTCCCATCTCTGCGGATGTTTTAGGAATTTAGGGCTTCTCTACAGCGAAATTATTTCAGCAACAATTTTTTATGGTCCTTCAAATTTTTTTGTAGAGAGTAATCATACAAATGCTCGACGGCATCAGCGGGGTACATCAGAGAGAAAGAAAGCAGATACTGTATTAAGCTGAAATTATACTAACAATGAACGATACATTTTACCCTTCCTCGAAATTTATGCGGAATTTAAATTTCAGCACAATCAATTAAATATTTGGGATTCAATGCTTATTTTATTTGAGTAAATTTCTATCTGATGAAAACTTACCACACAACAACAATTGAATGGCACGTGCCGAGACGGATGGTACTGAGTACCATAATCCCATGCGAAAGAGCATGTCAGTAAAGATCCGTACACACTCCATAGAGCTATTCCCCCACCTCCGCCTTCCCAACACATGGCCAGTGCACAACCATCCGGGGACCATTTCAAGCTTTTCACCGGTTTCTGAGCTCCTGAATAGATCTTCTCTGACAAAACGAGCCGGTGCGATACAACAAGCGCCCCGCTGGTTTCGTCAATCGAGTAGACAACTCCTTGGGAGCTAAAATGAAAATATATTATACACGAATACACAGGTATTCCACTAAAAAGTTCTCCAGACTTGAAGATGCACTCACTCTCTTTTACCAAAAGCTATGATTCGGTATTTATGGTTCATCGCTGTACATATCGCATCGTCCACATTTGGGGCCCATATACCCTGCACTTGCTGAAATCACAATAAAAATATATACAAACTAATTTTAAATCATTAAAATACATGCATGTGCTCTCACATTCGGATCAAATTTCAGTGTTGTTGCCGTGAGAAACGCAGCCCTTCCATCACTCAACACAACAGAAAATCCGCCTAGCAATGGAGAATAATCTATCGCACTGACGTGAACACCAGCAGCTGTCAACGGAATAGCTGCAATTGACAAGGATTTAAGACCACAATGATTACCAGCGGAATTATTCTACAATCTACAATGCCTCACCCAAAGCAACTTGCTTGTCAATGCAGAATGGAACGCGTCTCAAATCCAGGCAATAATCCCGATTCAATCCTCCGTCCCAATTGAAACGTTGAATCTGAGCATTCCCGGTCGCCACCATAAGTTCGTCCCTCAGGCAAACCATTCCTGTGACACCGCCAGCGACCATAACGGTGCATTTCTGCAAAACATCCGAAAAACTGAAGGTGTTCGTCGTGAAACTCGATTAAAACATTATTCATACCAATTTAAGGGAAACAGCTGGTACTTCATCTTTAGAGAACAATTCTGAAGATCCGCGTTTCAACGCGGGATTTGGGCCTTCCAGCTCGAAATATAAATAGTCATCCTTATTCTTCGTCTCCACGCTGAAGAACAGCAAATAGTCATGTTGCGTCTGGAACAAAGAAGCAATAATTTTCAATCTTCGAGACGCGCACAGAGCAAAAGTGCCTTCCAAGTGATACTGTACGTCAAAATATACACGCACCGACAATGCAAACAGTGAGGAATCGCGTCGCCATTCCAATCCAGTGAAAGAGCCATAGAGCGGAAAGAGATCACCTGGTAGCTGATAGCAAACCAACGGCACACAGGGCTGAAATTTACAATTGTTTTCCATGATTCAAATATTTCTGAGGTATTACAGGCGCAGAAACTTACCCGATAATACCACAGCTCAATTGCTTTTTCGTAAAGTACAGCCAGAAGAACTTTATCGCGGTTACACACCACGGCGATCACAGGCGATCCAGCACCTTTGACCAGCCGTAACGTTTCCGGACAACCATTCGGGAAGTACATTTCAAATTTCACTCATCACTGAGATTAAAAAATTTGTCATGTCACGAAGTAAATACTGGAATGAATGAAAAGAAGCCTTAAATATGCTTCTCAAGGGAAAAAACGAATGAGTGCATCGGATGAGAGGATCTCATAAACAGCATCATCCTTCAGATTTATCAAGAGTGAAGCACGAGAAACTCGCGGACATAAACCATCAACTAAAAGGATTGAGGAAGGGGAATAAAAAGGCTACAAAACGATAGCAGTCAATTGGCGTTAAGGTTCACGTATACATCATTTCAGCCATCTTCGACATCTTTTTCGGAATGTGGAGGCCGTTTTCCAGATAGCCAGCTAGTTCGTCCACGCTCGACACTTCCTCATACGTAGGGTTAGCAGCCTCCTGGGAGCATGACTTTCGTACGGGTATGACATCGGTTTGAACTAAATTGGACATTGTTAGCACTGATTCACAAACGGATCCAGTCTCCTCGGTTGAGAACAGATTGTCCGGGTAAGACCGTTCGAGAACATGACAAGCTCCCTGTTCATTCTGGATAAGTCTTCCGATACGATTCTCCGGAGGGGCAGAACCAGATCTTTTCGATAGAGGAGAAGCACGCAAGAACGACCTTTTTGACTTGAAGATATGATCCAACTTGCTTTTGCGTAAGTAGGTTCTAGGCGGTAGTTTCTTCACCCTATTGGCGAAGTTGAAGTTCCAATTATCCTCCGATGCAGATTTATTCCTTCGCTTTTTCTTTCCAACTGTCTGCTTGGAAGATAATGAGAAGGATTCCAACTTCTTGATGCATGCATCTTCCTCAGCAGGCACAGAGGATTGCGTCCTAGGAGAAAAAAAAGGTTAGCAGGAATAAAAGTATCCAACTACGTAAAACGCACAAGGAGAAGAGTTGAGCATCTGCCTCCATGCATGGAGATTTAGGCGGCGTAATCTTCACAACACTTCATCAATAGAATTTTTCCTCTGGCAAAATATTTGCCGGCACTGAAATTAAAAATCAGAGATCACCAAAAGTTGCTCGGAAAAATGAATTGCACATGCTACTTTCGATTTAAAAACTGGATGCGCAAAAAACAGCGAGGAGCGATGAACTTCTGCTGCGAACTGTTAACGCTCAACTGGCCTGAAGACCATCAGGCACCTGAGTGGGTCACTTGCGTCTTCTTGTTTAACCAGTGAAAGTGAATTACAGTATTGTCGGATTAATCTATCCTGAAGGGCGTAAAATCTCTCACTGGAAAACTACAGTACTGTGCATAAGTATAGTAAAGTAGCATTCTGGAATGGCAACTCTCTGGTCACCCAAAAATAATTGGAAGACCTCTACCCAACTTCATGAACTCCACAACTATTTAGTTCCAATACAGCCAAGTACAGCAATTGTCCCCTGCCCAGCTTTAAATTTATTTTAAATGGAGAAGAGACTAAGCTTTACTTACTCCCTCAAGATTATGGGGTAACTGCAGCTATGCTGAAAATCATTCACTCTGAAGTGGATGTTATCTGATAAGGGCCAATTGTACGGCTATTTTTGGACTTACAAATTGAATTTCTCATCAGTAGAAGAGCCTAATCCTTCTCAATTATAAGTTATCAATGCAGCAATAATTCAGACACAATTTATTTTAGCATAGAATGTGTACTTGAATTAAAAGCTGGACATGATATACTGTATTTACTTGAGTACCAGGCACACCTTTTTTTCTCAAATTTCAGAAGAAAAAAGGGGTGGCACATCAGCATCATAAGTGGGTACAAATTTTCCAAGAAGTTTTTGGAAGTTGTGTGCATTATACTTGATTATGATGGAGAAATTTGGAACAAATGTAAAAAGCAAACTTTTTTGTACTGAAACAGTAGAAAATTGATCAGATTTTTGTTCAATTGATGTATAAAGTCAATTTTTTGTTTTTATTTTTGAAATTTTGTGGCTTCAGATTCACTAAAAATAGGGGTGCATGTTTTCCTTGGGGATAAGATTTTAGCAAAATTTTCAACTGAAAACCCCCTGTGCATGCCTTACTTGAGGGCACATGGTACTCAAGTAAATACAGTAACTGGTTTAATTAACAGTTGTCCATCCCAAGTTTATTCATGGTACTTTTTGATAAAAATCCTTTAAAATAAAAGATTTGAATTTTTACATTCAATTAATGTATTTTCTGATTGCAGCATCTTCAAAAAATGTCATGTGTAACAGGAGAAAAGAAGCTAGAAGGCTTGTTTCCAATCCATGGCTTGAAATTTGGGCTGCCCAGTCAACACTAACGGATGAAATTAGCTGAATACTATAGGGTAGAGAGCATTTGAATTAATTTAAAGCAAGTTTCAATCCAGAGATTTTTCATGAAAATGTCGAATGAAACTTCTTTATCTCTATTTTGTCCTTCCCTTACAAAACATGTTTCAGTTGTTATGCATAAAACAAAAGAATTTGCAGGCAGTTATCGTCCCAATTCAATAAATGAACACATTTCTACCATTTCATCTTTCATTCCGGCCCAAACGCTCCAGTCGATGCCACACCCGAAACATTAAGGAACCAAAATTGAACGCAATCAAAAATTCGCGTTTCCCCAAAAGTCTCAAGATCTCAGTCACAATAAAAATGGGCGCGGATTCCATCTCCCCCTTTCGTCTACTTCCCCGGCAAATCTCGCCACCTACTCGAACATTTATAGAACATAGGTACAAGACGCGGGAAACAAAAGATCGACACGTCATCGCCTCAAGGACGAGTGCAAAGAATTCACGAGCTTTCCGATCGTCTCCGCCGCAATAGCATCCCTACGCAACCTCATCAGGCAACTTCGAGAGGGATTCATTGACCAGTAGTAAATTGTCACACTATCGTACAAACACTTCCATCGATCAGGGGAAAGTCGCAACGAAGCCATCATAGAGACTACAAAAGAGAGAAGTCTGAACAGAGTCAGTGCGCCGGCCTTTTCACAGCAGAACTCAACACAGTAGCGAAAAAAAATAATGATCCACAGAATGCGCAAGATGAGAATTCCGAAGCTTCAAAGTAGCAGCGCTCTACGATAAGGGGGACCAACGTTCGAAATGTTAAAACTGAGCTTTGGCGCACATGCCGTCCTTGGAATGGGAACGAGACGATTTAAGGCCGGCCAACATACATTAGGACTCTTACTGATCCATCAGATTTGGTACGCGAGGTCTGGACCCGCGGTAGAAATTCTGTCTGTAACCGCCTCTCCCGCCGCGGTAGCCATCGTTGCGCTGCATCCCCATTCCACGTCTGTACCCACGGCCGAAGCCCCGACGAACCGAAGAAACGCCGAAGGTTTCAGCATTCAGTTTGCGCTCATTCTTCCAGTCTGGACGTTGACTGCTGCCACGCGACTTCTCCATGGCCTCGCAAGATATTTTGTCGAAAAAGCTCTTTTCTTTGTCGTAAAATTGCTTGGCATCCTCCTCATCTTCTTGCTGCGCTTCGTTGACCAGTTCAGCGTCTCCATTGGCGGTGGCTTCGACATCATCGGACGAAGCGGGACCGTTGAGACTTAGATTGCCGAGACCGGACTTGACATTTTCAAACTCAGCATTTGCAGTCTCGAAATCGTAGTCATCAGTGAATTTCAAACGAGATTCCTGTCGTGCCGGCTCCAAATGCCCAACGAGTCCTCCACGACCTCTTCCCCGACCGAAACGCATCCCCGGGTGGTGTCCACGGTAGCCCTGATTTCCCATATATCCACCTCCTGCTCCTCCTCTTTAAAAATAAAAAGTATAATGTAAAATATATACTGCATGTAGTTCATCTGGAAAACCCAGAAAAATATGTAGGTGAAATTATATTCACAGGAACATAAGTTCGGATTCTCATTGTTGAAAACGCTAATGACTACCCCCGGAAAATTTGCGAAGTAGGTACAATACACGCTTGTCGAAGATGATGTATGATGCAGGAGAATGAAAAATACTGCACCTGGTTTTCTGATACACAAAAATTCCACGATGGCCCCGTTCGGCTTTCGTATGATTACATATAGCATTGCTCATTCGCAGATTAATAGAAATCGAGGGCGAATTGAAAACGGCATGAATCAGAGCAAATTATCGTAGTTGAACTGTGACTCCAGATTTGCCCAGACAAAGAAATTTTCGTTGAAATGGACAACTTCGGAGAATCCATCATTGATTACCTACCTTTTTATGGGCTCTCGTGGCAAAGAACGAAACGCTTTGAGCATTTAAAATTTTCAAAAAGCAACAAAGATAAAAATAAAGACGTACCGGTAATACCCGTCATTACGCTGGACGTAGCCACCTCCGCCGCCACTTGATCGACGATCATTATAACTTTGTTGATTTCTGTGCACCACATTGTCGTTTCGTCGGTTCATAGCTTGGTCGCGACTGTCACGATGTTGGTATTGCTGATGATGCTGCTGCTGACGATTATAATGAGATGGTTGTTGTTGGACAGGCGCTTGTTCATACTTTTGCTTGGCTGGTTGCGTGCCTTTAGGGACTTCCTGCTTCAACGCTTCCTCCTTCGGTTTTTGTTCCTCTTTCTTCGGTTTGGCAATTTGCACTTCCATCACTGGCTCATTGCGACGAGGTTTTTCCGGTTGTGCTACAAATACAAAAGTATTTCTGTCAAAATTTCACGCATTGAAAAAATTTCAAGTCTTCACGATCTTCTCAATTATACCGAAAAGCATGTACAGTATGCGATAAAACTTCTTTCGAAATTCAGCTAAACAGGGCTACTTACTTCTTGATACTGCTTCCGGGGTCGGTTTCGAAGATTTTTTCGCGGCCGAAGGTGGGCTCACAGCAGCGGAAAATGTACGCGGTGGAGGTTGAGGCGGATGAACCTGTTCGAGTGTTGGTGGGGGTTGCCGAAAATCTACTCCACTACCGATCACCCCGGCGGATTGGTTGGTCGGGGTAGTCGTCGGCACGCCGGGAGCAGCCGTATTCGGAGGGAAAGACGCCGGCATCAAACCATCCCAAGCTGGGGCACGCGTTTGAGTCGGAATTGTAGGCGGGGGAGCAGACATTGCAGGCATGGCGGGAACAGAAGGAGGCGGTTGGCTGAAAGGCAGCTTGATCCCCATTTGCGTCGTTGGCGGCAAAGACGTTGGCTGTTGCGATGGAATTGGCGGCGGCAAAGTATTCGGTTGCGGCATCGGCGCAACAGGCGGTGCGGAGTGTTGAACAATCGCTGGGTCATCGGGAAACGACGACACCAAACGGACATGTTTGATATCGGATCCACGAAAGATGATGTAAGCATAAACTTCATCACGCGCTGCAACAGGCCGGTCCGTTTGGCGATCCTCCGTTCCGTAAGACTTCACATCCGAAAGAGTCACAGTAGAATCGTTTTGGTCAATCGTGTATAGAACGCCTTCGTAGCGGATTTCCGCATTAGATATCAAACTGATGCGGCTTCCGACGTAGCCGGCCATTGCAGTATGCTTTCTCGCACCTTAACTGCGCCGCAGATCTATAACAGGAAACACAGAATTAGAAACCAAAATCAAATTCATATTTCCATGGCATCCGTGGTTTATCTTTCGGACATTAATCATTCTACTGCGCTCTCACACAACCATCAATGCTTCAGCTATCCAAAAGTTCGAAATACATTGAAAACGGCGCGATATGTCAGGCATACGATTTAAACGTTCAATGGTTCAATTCCTTCAAAATTCAAAAACTTTCAACGCACTCCACGGAGCTTAGGGACAGGCGTTAAACCTGAATTTTAACTGCAACTTTGTTAAACCACTCGGACTTCTGAGGCCTTGCGGTGTTAATGCGATCGAATAGATGCGATTAGAGGCCTTGCTATGTAAATCCTCGGATGAATCCATCTGTACTTCACTATAAAACAATCAATCCAGTCGTGTGGTTAACCAGTGTCTCGAATCGATCAATGAACTTGAAATCATAGAACTTCACATCCGTCACTCAAGAATAAATCATCAGAAGTACTGTTCTCGGATGAAAATCAAACTTTACAAGAAGATAAAAAAAACCCTGATGCGACTTAAACCCTAAGATTGATAGATATTCGCATTCGAGAATCGGGAAACTCAGAAGAGTAACATCATCCTCACACTTCACGGGATACTTCATGGACACCAAACAAAGATTATCGCCCATCTTCCATTTGGATTTCATTAACTTTTTCGCCGTCAAGGTGAACTTTCCCAGGAAGCAGGAAAGGCAGACGGAACATGAATCAATATCCAGGTGGGTCATTTGAAAATAAGCCATGATTTGAAACTTTAGACATAGGTGTCACTCTACGTATTCCAAAGATCAAAACTGAACCTTGACATAATCCTCCAGCTGTTGTACAGTACAACAGTATATGCAGCTACAGTATTATCCGAAGTCGTACAGAACTTGATTGTATGGCGACTCATGTGTATACAGTTAATTTTATATATACAGGAGTCAGAGATAGTTACCTTGCTTGTTCAAGTTCTGCATGTACTGTACTATACTGTAGCTCAGTTCTCAAAAATAAAATTCATGCAAGTTTCAGCGAAATAATCTGCTTCAGCGGCTTTACGCATTATAGGATTCGTATTGGGAATCGTATTAGTTCAGCTATTCAATTTGAATATATATGGTACGTAGTTTCAACCATTCTACACAAAACTATACCTGATACAGTATACACTATTATCATAAATAATCAATGGGGAGTTATTGGAATGCGCTATTGCAGTCTGTTGAACATGATCATCCTTTATTTGGAAGTTTGTGTAGATAAATCATGCTGTACACACACATATATATACAGTGGGCCCCTGACTTACGATGGGCCCATGTTACGTCCGTTTCATCTTACGACGCTTTTCTTAAATTAAAAAAACCCCCGACTTACGTCGGGGTTTCATGTTACGACTATAAAAGCCCTTTGACTTTCCCCACTCCAGTCTTCCTCTCGTTTCCAACCACCCCACCAAAAAAGCCAGTAGCAATGGAGGAATTATTCCTGCCACATTATTTTTTCCTACTCCTTGCATAATAACACTCCATTCAAAAATTGTAGAACTTAAACAGACTCAAAATCAAGCTTTAAAGTATGAAGGATGAACTCAAACAATGTCAACACTCAAAATGTGTTTATGACATGAAATTTTGGGCACAGTAAATACACTATTATCATAAATAATCAATGGGGAGTTATTGGAATGCGCTATTGCAGTCTGTTGAACATGATCATCCTTTATTTGGAAGTTTGTGTAGATAAATCATGCTGTACACACACATATATATACTGTATGTCTATATTTATGAAATTAAATAACAGATTCTTCACATGTTTCATGTGTGGGTGCATACCTGGATATCAAATATATACAGTATATATATTTTTTGACATCCACATATGCACCCGCACATTTGACGAATCTGTTATTTAATTTCATATCACCTAGGTGTCACTACAGTATTTCTAGAAATCCAGAGTCTAGACTATCTAGATTCTATAGAGGTTCAGGCACGGATTCCTAATACTGTATATCTCATCAGAATTGTCAATTTATTGCCGTTTTATTTATCAAGAACCGTCAAACCCTCAGTACGTGTTTTGGCTATGAAAAATCTTGCGTTAGAATAATTGCATGAGGCAAGTCTATGCTGGGAACATTTTTACGACGTCGCATCGCATTCGGGATTTTTACGAAGTTCGACAATAAAGTGGGGGAAAATTGCTTACTATTGTATATACAGTATGCATTCGACATTCCGTATTCCTTAAATTAAAGAGACGACTAATTCTGCGATCTATGCATTCACTTTCGTGCTGAGTATGTATATGTACCGTATATCAGAGAGCGAAAATGCTGATGATTTTAGAAATTATCTAAAGTGATGATTATCTGATTTTTCCGATGCTGCTGGATGAATGAATTAAGTAGATGAAAAGTTTCAGGCACAAATTGATTGTTTTTTAACGTTTTCTCGAGCGACGAACTGTGGGAGGAAGATGAATGAGAACTGTGCGTGTATTCCCGGCGTGTCCAGAAAGCATATAAAGGCTGTGGCCGAAAAACGGAGTACAGCTCAATATATGCTGTATATAAGTTCGTTGACCATCGATGAACAATATGAATGACACACCAACGCGCATGTATAGTAAAGAGAGAAGAGAAACGCGTTTTCCCGGCCCATAATGCAGGACAATAATATACTCGCTTGTCACGCTGCTGACCATGCAACGCGTGAACACTGATCGTGTAGGAAATCAGTCAATTCCATTTTTGGGGCGAACGCAGTCTGTACGCCTTTTTTTTTGTGGGTGCTGATGGTGTGGCCTCGGGTCTTCGCGATGAGGGCTTGGTTCTTAAACTTCTTATATACTTGCTGCTCATATACTTGTACTGTACCAGGTATAATACAGTGAAATATACAAAGTCGGACAAGTATGTACAATATTATTATAAATATGCGAAATATGGTGATTCGCGGCGCGAGTCGTGGCTCGATCTGTCTTGGAACTTGGTAAACCGTGTATCAGCATTCACTCAATCGCTCGCGTTTATGCGAAACTTCGTTGTCTCTGTATATAGCTAATCTGTAAGCCTTTCCCGGCTCACAATTTGTGTTAAAATTTGCTCTTGCTTGCGGATTACTCGCCAAATTATTTTTCTAAACCATGCATGGCAAATATTCGAACAGCAAATGGAGCAACCATTTTAAAACGCTTGCATCTCCATGATAAATTAATCGGAGCTCGTTTTCTCCTGGAAATCGGCTATGACGTATTGAAATGGTGAATGTTCTCAGGTGAACAACAGGAAAGAATTTTATGACGATATGATCACAATGTTTGTTGAATGATTTGCTATAGTGGGCATTATTCTTCCACAGAATCTACAATGAGGTTTATGCAGTACAGCGAAAAGAATGTAAATATATGAGATGACCATGAATTCGAGGAATGTCCTGACCCGTAAAAATAAAGGTACTCTTCATCCAATTGGATCAGCTACGGATTTTTTTGCATCATATTTCGAAGAATTGGTGATCAGAGAGTCTTTTTAGGGTGAGGCTTATACAGAATATTGGTTCATAGTGTCTGAAACATCTTTAGAGCTGATCAAATGACACGGTTTATTTCAGAAATACCGTGCGTCAACAACGACGTGACTATCGATCGATAGATAACCTGCATATAGCTGAAAATTTGGTCTTTCATAAAAATAAATCATTTTCCCACTATTTGTAATTTTGTATAGTAAGTGATTTGTGAACGAGGGAATATTCGACGGCCAGAATCTCATCGTTCAGCTGTAACTTCAAACTTCTTCCAAAGATAAAATCTACCTCGTCATTGAAACAATTTGCGACGAGCAAAGAATTTTCAAAATATTTTTTCCTTCAATAGACTTGGGATCTGAGAATCAGCGCGTTTTTTTGGAAACTGGAAACTTCAACGAAAATTTGAATATTGATTCCTTTCGTATCACTTATTTCCAGCAAAAGCTTTTCTCGAGACTTCGTAAAGTCTCGAAATTCCTTATCTACGCGTATTCTTTACAGATTTTTGCTTGATATTTCATCGTTGAACTCGAATTAATTTCTGGAAAAAAAGCTCATTTATCGGAATCGCGAGATTTCAAAAGAATCTTCCCGCATGTCATGAGCAACTTGTCTCAATTCCTGCGGGAAACCACTTCACAACTTACACACGTGTAAACGACAACACATTATTTATCCGACTTGTCTGTATGTGAAAGACAAGATACTGTAGTAAATTTTCATCTATTCACCAGCAATAAATTCTTCCAGTCAAGTAAGTTTCGTATTTGAAAGAAACGCAATAGTAATCAGTTCTGCATGCTCACATGAAAAGACTGCAATTTAAGTTTATGGCAGCCTAACTGACACACTGTACATTACCGTATTTATAAAAAAGAGTACAGTAGTAAAGTAACCAAAGAAAGCCTGTGTTCCGTTATTTCGCGATCATCCTCATTTTTAATTTTCACAACAAAAACCGACGTACAGATTTATTTCACCTCTTCATTGTAGTTTAAAAGACTAGTATGCTACAGAAATTATATTGAAAAAATACGAGCTCGTGTTCATGAGTCTTTCGTCTCTATAGTTTTCTTACAATGTTAGATTAATCGTACGTCAAGTCGAGCGAGAGAAGACTTCGGAAAATGAATGCAAACAAATGTACGTACTGTTGTACTTCCGACTCTCAAGGAAAATAAATCCCCGTGTTTTTCTTTTCTTTTCGTGTGCCTTAGCTGAAAGAAGGTTGTATTTGAATGGTAGTGATTCCTGCTGACTTGCAAGTGCTTCTGAAGCGCGTTACTAGACGGGTAATTTATTGCTGGGATGAGCAAGTTGATGTACGTCGCGGCGGGCCCCAAAGAAAAGTATTCTTCTGCCGTACCACCCACGGGAATGAATCAATCCTCTGCAAAAAAAAATTGCTTTCCAGTGTTTATTTTTCAAATTATTATTTTTTTGAA